AACACACCAGGTCCAGGCCTTCACTGAGCCGGTGAACACACAGCTCTGATTATTTACGTCTACAGCGACGGTTCATGTGACGCTTTGTGGTGGAACAACGTGGAGACAAGAGGCTGGAAGCTGAAGGCTGTGAAACCACAACACCAGACGCACAAACAGACACATTCTGTGCGTTCAGCAGCGTGAAACCGGCTGTAAACAACACCGAGCTGCTCCAGAGTCCAGCAAGAACCAGAGCAAACCGGATCCAGAGAGTCACGCCGACGCTTTCACGTCGGAACCCAGCGGCCGCTCGCTGCTTGTTTACCATCCTGCCCATAAAGCTCAGCGTCCAGATTCACTTTTTGTGGGAGATCCAAGTGAGCAAACAGCCAAATGAGTGTGACTCTCATTCAGCCATGTTTGCTTGTTGCTGCACGTTTTCTCACCACAGAGTTTCACAATGCACTGGACCGAATCAGAGAGCGATCCACGGAGGGGAAACCCAGCCTCGGTTGTGCAATTTTAAGGTTCATAAAGATGAATGGAGGCTTTTCATGCTGGTGTCCTGCCTCAGCTTTGCTCAAATCATACTTATTATAATTTACAGACTTTTCTGGATTTAATTGGAATCAGAAGCAAGTTATGCTTTTAAAAACAAAGGAAGATCATTTGCTCCTGTCGTCTCTTTGTGACCATTTGGTGTCTGTTTGGCTGCAGAAAATGAACAAATGTGGTTTTCTGTTCAGTCCTGATTTGCTGCTGGAGCTGCGGCGAACAGAACACGGATCAGAACACGGATCAGAACACGGATCAGAACACGGATCAGAACACGCTCATGTGGTTTTATTTATAGGACAGAGTCAGACCTTCCTGAGCATCATGTCTCAATGAAAGATGTTCAACAGCTTTAATGTGTGAAGACACTGAGCAGCAACATAAACACATTGAGCTGCATAATGAGCAGTTTTCCACCAGTAATCTTCTCCTGCATCATTGGTGGTTCTGGTTCTGTTTAGCTGCTGTTAAATCTACTTTATATTCTTCACAACACTTTAACATCCAGAAGACTTAAAGGATGCATCAGACACACCTTTCTATGGGAGAGGTAACAGAGTCTGATGAAGAAGACCTGGTCTACAGCGACCACGGTTCTACCTATCATCTGATGCTGAACTTGCTTCATATTCAGGAGACGTCATCATAAACCAGAAGCTCCTGTTGGTGGAGCAGCCACCATCAACCTTTAGTTTAGCTTTCATCACTCCTCTACAGGTCTGACTGTGAAAAACGCATTAACCAGGTGTTTAGAGGTCTACAGCCAACCCTGCAGAAGTTTAGGATCTGGTTCCTACCGGTGCTGGACCACCTCCAGGTCCTCCAGCTTCTCGGGGATCTCCATGCTGTTGAGCCACTGCTCCTTCTCATCGATCCAGACCTCGCAGGCGCTGGCTTCGCTCAGCATCTTGTAGAGCGCCAGGGCGTCCTGCAGCGCCTGCTTCCTGAGCCTGGTCAGCTCGGCCACCTCCTTGTAGCGCTCCTCGATGCCCGCCAGCCGGCTCTGAACCTGCACAGCACAAACATCCTGATATCTAACTTGGAACTTACTCGTAACATAGCGTAGCGTGCTAGCGGTGCCTGTCGGAGCCCCACCTCCTCAGAGTTGGCCTTCTCCGGCGGCAGCGTCTTGGACTGCTCGTGCAGGGCGTCGATGACGGGTCGGTAGCTGGCGATCTCCTCGGCCACATCCTTGTGTTTCTTCACCAGAGCCTGAGTGGAGAACTCGTCGTGGCCAACGTCGACGCTGGAGACGATCCGCAGAACGTCCAGCATCCACGTGTCGATGTCGTCGGCGTCAGCCTGCACAGGGGAACACCTTTAGGTTCAGGTAGGTCCAAACACTGACGTAATCTGCTCTCGGTCCGAGCAGGAGGAATGTTTTGTGGATTTCTTAACCTGAAACGGCAGCTTGTGGGATTGGCTGCTACATAACAACAAAGGGAATCGGACAAGGTAGGAGACACACCTGGAGTCTGGTTTTAGTTTTCATTGCAATCAGTCAGTCAAACAAGAGTACCTGGAACTGGTGCTGGTTGCAGGCCTCCTGCAGACGAGCTTTCCGGACCGCAGAGAGCCGCTCCAGCGCCGCCCACTGGTCCTACAGATGGAACCACGGCAGGAAGGTGTTAGAACATCGAGCGGGTTTAAAGGGATTGTTTTCTCTTTGGCTTCGGGCGTACCTGGATGTCCTGGATCCGTTCTTTAATCTTGTCGGCTCCGAAGTGGTTGTTGGCCACCAGCTCGTCGCCCTGCTTGATGGTCTGCTGCAGGTGGGCGGCCCGACCGCTCATCTCGTCCTCGAAGGCTTTGTGCTGACTCAGCAGCCGCAGAGCGCCGGTCAGATCTTTGCCGTAATCCTCGGAGGACAGAATCTGCTCCTTCTCCCTGATCCATCCCTCCTACAATCACCAAACACATTCAGGCCTCGGTTACACGAACACAGAAAACTCGGATGAGTCAGAGTTTAATTCTGAAAATGAAAATGAGCTCCGTTAGATCCTCATCAGCGCCGCCAGCCGTCCTCCTGTGAGCTGATTTGATTTAAACTGATGCTGTTTCACACTAGCGACTGCATAAAATTAGATTTAATTCAACATTAATACAATATACGTCGTATGTTTAGGTCAGTTGGTAAAGTTTCTACTGAGAGACTGAACCTGGAGCCTGTGTTTTCATAAGCTAACACATGTTTAATCCTTTACAAACTTCTTGTCACTATTTAAACTTGTTTTAAATCAAGTCCTAGAACTATTACAACCATTTATCATTTACTTTTACAATTACAAACATTATAGCTATTCATTTAGTTTAAACTAATTAACCGCTTAGCAATATGTCATCTTATTTAAGCTAACCATTTGACTTTTAATCAGTTAATCCAATTACTTTAAGTAATTAGTTATTACTTTTGCCTCGCTAAGTTCACTAGTTTATCTTTTAACTTGCATTAACTACTTAAACCATCTATTTAATTTCTAATTTTAGTGAACTACCTACAACTTTCAGCTAACCAACTGGTCCATTACTTTAGCGAGCTACTTATTATTGTTAGCTTTTTTCATCCTATTTACCTCTAGCTAACTTATTAGTCAGTTATTTTAGCCAACTAGCTAGCATGTTTTGCTATTTCAACCAATCACTTCTAGCTAAACTATTAGCCCACTGTTTTAGCTAATTATTTATTACTTTAGGCTAACCAATTAGTCTGTTGTTATTATTAATATTATTATTAGCTAACTATTATTTTTTAGACATTTCAACTAGTTACTAGTACCTTACCTATTGGTTCATAGTTAGCGCTTTTAGCTCATCAATTAGTCCATTATTTTTAGCTAACCCTTATGACGTTTAGCTAACCAAGTACAACTAGATAGCACTTTTAGCTCATCAATTATTTTTTAGCGAACTAGTTAGCACTTTGGCACAACAATGAGTCCATAATCTCAGCAGTAGTAGTTCATATTCTTAGCTAACTTATTAGTCAATTATTAGCCAACTTTGTCCATTATTTTAGCTAACTAGTTAGTAGTTTGGCACAACAATGAGTCCATAACCTCAGCAGTAGTAGTTAGTACTCTTAGCTAAGTTATTAGTCCATTATTTTCACTTATCACTTATTACTTTAGGTGAACCGGTAGCTCAGCTTTTTTAGCTTTTAATTTAATTCATTATTTTAGTATTAATTTTAGTTATTTGAACTGCTTGAATGTATACACTTTGTCCACAGTTAAAGCTGACTAAATAAAAGTTTGACATTTTTATTCACATCATAATTTCAGCTCATCTCTGGACGTACCCCTTGGTGGCAGTAGAGTACCAGGACTCCTGTTGGTAATCACTTCTATAAAACACCAGCATAAAGTGCAAAAACACAGCTAGGCAGCTTAGTGTGAAGCTAATTATCCAATATCCTTCTCAAACTTCATAAAAACCCAATTAGCAGCGTCTTAAAGGCGAAGAAAAGAGGCCGGAATGAGCTGAGCTGAGGCTAACGTTTGATTTAACTGCCTGGAGGACCAGAAACAAGAGGAATAAAAGGATGGATGACCTCTTCAGCCATTTCCCAGAAGAACTTCCAGAGGCGGCGGGACTCCTCGAGGCGAGCTCTTCGCTCAGCCGCCAGCTGGCTCAGCTCCTGGTAGCAGAACTCCATGTGAGCGACCCGATCCCTGATGATCTGAGGATCGCAGGGCTTATAACCTGAGGACAACAACAACAACAACAACATTATTTATTGCTGCCAGGAGAAGCAACAGCCTGAACCTCGGCACTGACGTCGGTGTGTCGTACCTTCGGTGTCGTTGGCGAACCTCTGAGCGTTGCTGTTGACGTTTCGGACCCGGTCGGCCTGGATGCCGATGTCGGCCTCCACCAGAGCGTGCTTCTGCAGCAGGTCCTCCACGCCCAGCAGGTGTTTCCCGTAATCCTGAGAGAGCAGCAGCATCTGCAGGCAGAAACCAGGGTCAGAACATCAAACACCCAGGTATTGATCCGGTTCTTTTGATGAATCTGGATCGTGGTGAATCTGCTGCGGACCTTCATCTCGTCCATCCAGTCCATGATGTAGAGCATCTCCTGGAAGACTCTCTGCAGGCCCAGGTTGGACTCCAGCCTCTGCCTTCGGGCCTTCAGCAGCTCCAGCAGATACTCCCACAGTCGGATCACGTTGTCCTTCCTGGCCGTGATGCGTTTGATGTCATGGTAACTCTCCGCCTCCAGCTCCTTCGCCACGGCAACCACCGCCTGCGCCACAGAAACAGAGGATGAGAAAGTTTCTGGGTCTGTCTCACATCACGAAGGCTTCAGCTGATTCTATCAAACTCTACGCAGCAGCGTTGTCTCCCATCAGGTTTCCATTCGTGCTGACAGATAACTCGATGGACCGACCTGAACTCGCTCCTCGTAGGCGGCGATGTCTGTTTCTATGGCTTCATGTTTCTTGGTAGCAGCTTCCACGGCTTGGAGGTCAAACCCAAAGTTATCCTGGAATAGGACAGAGGGAAGGAAACAAGGAGAGGAAAGAGGAGCACGTTAAACTAATCCACATGACATTTTAACAGCAGACCTGGACGTGAGGTTGTGTCGGTCACCTGGGAGACCAGCCTCTGGTTCTCGCTCAGCCACGTCTCTCTCATGGCGGCTTTGCGGTCGAAGCGTCGGGCGAGCTGCTCCAGCTTCTCCTGACGAATCAGCTCCGTCCTCAGGGCCAGCTCCCGCTCGTGCTCCGCCTTCTCCAGACGCTCCCACGCCTAAAACGAACGCACCCGACCAACCGCAACACGATGAGAACAAAGGATGCTCGCAGACAGACGCTTAAAGTTCAGCCTCAGAGGAGAAAATCTGTTTAACTTGTTTTTAATCAAATATAAGACAAACCAACTTATAAACTAAACTTAGGAGCCACAAAAAGGTTCCAAATCCTTTTTTTTACCTTGTTGATGTCTGAGATGAGCTTTCCTTCTCGGGGGGTGTACACTTTCTGGTTGTTGGCTCTCATCTTGCTCTGGATGGTGAACAGGAGAACCTCCAGGTTTCCCTTCTCTGTGAACCTGCAAACACACAATCAGCCATCAGGACGATTAGAAACTAGATTTTACAGTTGACTTACTTTGGTATTTGTGACCCAAAACTGATTCTGTGAAACACTTGTGGCTGAATTCGTTCAGATGTCGTCAGAAATGAGGACTTCACCCTCATGTCTTACGTAGGAAGCTATTTTAAAGAGTGATTATCTCCAGAAATGTAGCTCGAACGGCGGTCTAATTTGGTGAAAACACAGACAGAATAGTCCTCAGCAGATAAAAATGATTAAATTACTCTAACGGAGGCCAAATTTTTATTTATTTGAGCTTAAAAATGGGGAAAAAGTGCAAAATTCACCAACAAAAATGGGACTGGGGACCTAGAAAGTTCCTGTAAGTGTAAATATGTAGATGTGTCCAAGTTTCCTCCTAACAATCCAGCCTCTGGTCGACGTTTCACCGACTTGTGGCGTCTCTAGCATCAGTAGAACTACATGTGTGGCAGATTTTATAAACCAAGGTTCCAGTTTTTGGGCTATTTTGGCCAAATGGTGATACAGCCTCAAAAACTGGTGCTCATGGGGTCCACATGCTGTTGGTGTATCTGCCAAAGTACAAGCTGCTTCCAGGTTCTTCTGGTGGATTAATGGTAGCAGCTGGACCTGCTGGAGGTCCTTGAAGACGTTCCACCTCCATCCAGGAGGCTTCATCAGCTCTGGTTGGGAGCTGTTCCTGTCATGGTGTGACTTAATGAGATGTGTGTTGAGTTATCATCAGGTTCTCTGTTCAGAGACGAGTCCAGAAACCAGAACCAACCAACACCAGCATACAGGCGGCAGCAGCATGTTTCATGTGGAGAGGAGAAGTTCTGTTTAATTTGAGGAACAAACTTTGCAGAGAACCGTGTTCCTGGATCAATGTAACGTAAAACCATCTGGACAGTTCTGACCCGAACATGCTAAAGGAACGTACAGAACCAAGGAGCGAACACGCAGTTCAACTTTAAAACCTGAATAAATGACAGTTTGTGGTTTCTGTCCAGTCCTGAGCTGCTTCGGACCGACGCCGGCGGTTCTGACTGTCAGACGATATAAAGATAATCAACAGAAACACTTTGAGCTCCGATTGGCTGCTAGAAAACTGGATTATTTTACATACATGAAGCTGTGAATGAAGCTCCAGAAACCTTCACATTATCCACCTAATTAGAGCTTCGTCTGGTTTCTGATCTTCAGCAGCACATTTCTGGAGCATGAACAGCCTCATGATGACAATAAGACGGTTCTTCTGTTTTCTCGCTGCAGCTGTTGTTCTGAAATCGTTTCCCATCAGAGTGTTTCCAAGAAAAAAGCGAAGGAGGCCTCAGAGTGACTCAGCTGCTCTCCTCTGTTTGTTCTGCTGCTCGGCTCAACGTGGGAGGAAAACTCTGAACTCACTCCTGCCTGATGAAATATCAGGTCTGCAGTGAACACAGAGAGCAGAGCCTCCTGAAGCAGGATGGAACCATTAAAAGACTGCTTAAAGGATACGGTTAGCTTAGCTTAGCATGAAGACTGGATGCAGGGAAACAGATTCATCCACCTACAGGTCTAACATGCATCCAGTCTTCATGCTAAGCTAAGCTAACCGTATCCTTTAAACAGTCTTTTAATGGTTCCATCCCTGCTAACATGAAATAACTGTGATGAAAGATTAGTTTCCAGTGACTGTTTGATCCTCTTATTGGTAAGGAAGGTGTGCAGCTTTCAACCAGTTACTTCTAGCTAACCAACTCCTCCATTATTTTAGCTAACCCTGATGACTTTTAGCTAACCAATTACAACTAGTTAGCGCTTTTAGCTCATCAATTAGCCCATTATTTTAGCTAACTAGTTAGCACTTTGGCATAATAATTAGTCCATTATTTTAGCAGTAGTAGTTTGTACTCTTACCTAACTTATTAGTCAATTATTAGCTAACATAGTCCATTATTTTAGCTAACTGGTTAGCACTTTGGCATTGCAATTAGTCCATAATCTTAGCAGTAGCAGTTAGTACTTTTAGCTAACTTATTAGTCCATTCTTTTCACTTACTGCTTATTACTTTAAGTGAGCCAGTAACTCAGTTTTGTTTAGCTAACTAGTTAGCACTTTTAGCCAAAATTTAATATAATAATAAAAAGTTTTATTTTTAATTATTTCAACCGCTTGAATGTACGTAATGGATTGTATGGATTAGTCGATTAATCGATTCGTAGTTTGGATTATTAAATGTCAGACAATCCTCAGATGTTTTATCTACAACCCAAAGATCTTAAGTTTACTGTCATAGAGGAGTATAGAAACCAAATAAATCGTCATGATGCTGCCACCGCCGTGCTTCACAGTGGGGATGGTCTGTTCCTGATAATGTGGACCGTTTGGTGTTTGCGACAACATAGCATCTAGTCTGATGGCCAAAAAGCTCAAGAACCTTCTTCCAGCTGACTTCAGAGTCTTCCACCAGCCTTCTATTGAACTCTGGTGTTATCAGAACACCGTCATGCTTCGGTCTCACTCTAAAACCTGAGCAGAGCTACAAGTGTTTACTGACTTTGGCGGCTTCTCCACGGTGCGGTAGGTGTTGAAGGCCTGCAGCTGCTGCTGGACGCCCACCAGGGAGTTGGCGAACTTCCTGTTGTTGAGGATGATGATGGTCTGCTCGATCCACTCCAGCAGGTCGGACGCCAGAGATTCGTACTTCTCGATCATCTTCTCCGTCTCGATGGCGTTGTCCAGAACCTGCAAGACACAGCGGAGGGAGAAACGTGGTGAAGAACGTGATTCAGTCGATGACGTTTACATCAGATGAACAATGAAGACGATTTAATTAATTCCACTGAGTCCTTCATCTACTCTGGAGTTATGATCTTAGTTTTAACCTGACGAGTCTGATCGGTGGACATCGGTCGTGTCTGGAAATAATTCTGCTGATTTGACTCTTATTTTGATAGAAATGAGCTTGTGTGGAAATGAATGTGTTAAAAATCTTATTTTAAAGGCTTTCATGTGTTTAAAGTTGATCATTTTCAGCCTAGCTGGAGTTAGAGGGTTTATTTAAAAGAAGTTTCTGTCATAGTTTGTTTATTTTTGATCTTTATCAGCATTTTTTCTAAATCAATACAAACAGTAAAGCGGTATATTAAAAATAAACCATTTATGCAGAAACAAACACATTTTAAATCAGAATAAATAAATGTATTTCTGCCTTATTTTAAGGTTACCTGTAAAATAATGTGTTTGAAGAATTACTGCCTGATTTTGTAAGATTTAAACTTTCTTTCTTTGTTCGTTTGAAGACATAAACGTCTAAATAAGGCGAAATAACAGAGAAATGATCAAACAAATCATTGCTGTTCTGAAGCCACATAATATGAATTTTGCAGCTTTTATGCATAAATTAACTTATTTGTGTTTTTCTTTATGTTAATATTAACTTTATTGTGTATCTGTGTGATAAACAGGTTTTAGTTGTTAAAGTCAAAATAAACAAAATAAACAAACTTTCTGTTGATGTTTATTTAAAAGCCAGTTATTAAAAATGCTTAATAATTAGTTATTACCTTTAAATATTGTGTTTTAGCTCATGTTTACTGAGCTGGTGACATGTTTGTAAGATAAGTTTGAACTTATCAAGTCATGTGTGACTGTTTTCTGATCTTTTCCTGCGTCTGGACGAGTCTGAATCTAAAACTAAAGGTGAATCAGTCACAAGCAGCATCTCCAGTTTGCTCATGTGTGTCAGTAAACATCTGCTGAGCCGGTAAACATCTGGCTGATGTTGGGTCACCTTTCCGATTCTCTTGCCCTCCACCTTCAGCGCCTTCATCTTGGAGAAGTAGTGGTAGTAGGTGACCACGTAGGTGATGATGGACTTCTCATCAGGATGGTCCACGCTGATGTCTGCAGAAACACACACACACACACGTTAGAACAGCTGATCCTCTACGACCAGGTGAACCAGGTGAACCAGGTGAACCAGGTGGATCAGGTGGACCAGGTGAACCAGGTGGACCAGGTGAACCAGGTGAACCAGGTGAGTCTGTGTCGTGTCCGCTCACCTTCTGGGTCCAGCAGCTTGGTGAGGCCCAGGTGCTGCTCGGCCAGGTTGAAGGCGTTCTGCAGGTTGTAGTGAGCGTTGGACTTCTTCAGCTTGTCAAAGTCGATCAGGTCCGGCCTGAGAAGAGCAAAGAACAGAGTGGAAACGTTAGAAAGAGGTTCTATGGCCCTACAGGTACAACAAAGAGTCAATAATAAGTTCTAAATGACTTTTAAACCTCTGAAAAATCTGCAACAGGTTTAAAAAAACGTGAATAAATAAATAGTTAAAATCAACCGTTTATCATCCAGAAACTGTAAAAAAAATGCCGGTTATCCAACTTTCCGACGGTCCTTGAACTATTCACCTGTGATTTGGTGGAAAAATGACCCAAATGGAAGCTTAGAACTGAGAAACGTCTTTATTCTACCGTCTCATTCAAAAAAAAAAAATCACCAAAAATAAACCGCTCGCTTTAACTGGATTCTGTCAAAAACACAAAATTCTGCGGACCTCGACGGAACCGTAACACCATTGATGACTCACGCTCCTCCAACGGCAACGGGACGAAAAAATCAGCGACTTTTTGGTTGAACTGCAGGCTGTGTTCATAATCAGCAGATATGGAGGCATGTATAGAAACAAATAAAACATCTACAGTATGTAGAGACGACACCTTTTCCTGCACCGTGGGCACTTGAAGAAATGTAGTAGATATACAATACAAATAATTTAATTTATCTCCAAGGGGCAATTCAAAAACAAATATTCAAAGATTTATTTATTTATTTTCTGATTTATGGTGTTCTGGCTGTGTCATAGTGCACAGAAGATATGTCTGATCCTCTCTGCTTCTGGTCCTGGTTGTTGTGTTTCCATGGAGGTGCAGGACTTTACATCGATGTGAGAAATGAGCCCACAGTGAGTGAAAACGTGACCGGAGCACAAAACAGAACGACTCGGAGCTCAGAGGGTTAAACTGGCCTTCTGTCCTAAAGCCTTTCAGATCCTCTGCAGACCCACCAGGACCACAGTTCTGGTGTTTGTTTCTCCAAACCGAGTCATAAAGTGTAAAAAGTCCTGCCATCAGCCTACAAACTACCGACCATGTGCACAGTTTGAATTTTACATCATAAACTCTTCCTGCAGCATCTCTGGCTCAAACTCTCGGTTTTCACATTTCTCAGATTCTTCTCGTGTCTGAGCTCATCATCATCATCATCATCATCATCATCATCATCGTCATCATCATCCTCAGCTTCTGTGAGAGTCGATATTTGTGACCAACATGTGTTCGTCCCAGTTCTCCCCGTGAGGCTGCAGAGGAAACAACGAACGCAGGTGGAGGCGTGACGTCTCTGACTGGTCGGTAATCACGGCGCGGAGCTGGAGCCGCTTCAGCCACAAAGAAAATGAGATTAGCTTCAGAAAATGAATCGTGTTTTTGTGTGAATATGAGCTCTGTTCCCTCTAACGAAGGAGCGTCGGTCTGCTGACGGTCAGCTGAGGATCTGCAGAGAGACACAGGGCTGACGTGATGATGGACCGGCTGTGTTTATGAACGATGAAGCTCCTCTGTGTACTATTTATCTGATTAACCCTCTGAAGCCCAAATCCTTAAAACAATCACCAGAATCACTCCGTTCACCAGCCTGGAGCTTTCCAACAGCCTTCAATCTGCTCGAGTGGTTTTATTCTACACGTCTCACTTAAAAATTTGGAAAAAAACAACAGTTTGTTCTATTTAAATTCTGTAAAATACAAAAAATTCTGCGTTCCTCATCGTAACTGAGGAGCCTTCAGTCACTCAGGTGAGACCAACAGTCAGGTGACAAGAATTCAGGAACTTTTTGGTTGAACTGCCGGCGGTGTTCACACAGAGCAGACAAACAGACTAAACATCTGAGCAGGAAACCAACCACAGAATGAATGTTGTAAAGCACAGAGGACGTTTAAAGTTCTCTCTCCTTCTAGTCCTGGTTGTTCTGTTTCCATCGAGCGGCAGGACTTCATGCTGCAGTGAGAAATGAGCCCACAGTGGGTTAAAACGTGACGGGAGCAGCAAATAAACTGCTTGGAGTTCAGAAGGGTCATGTGAAGAACAGTTTGTCTTCTTCTGTGGTGGTTTATCAGCACGAAATTTACATTTCTGTTGTATTTTCATGGAAACTGGACTCATGGTACCGGCGTCGTAGCTTCTGAAGCGTTTCCTTTCGTGGGCTGACTTCTCTTCAGCAGATATTTAGATTTTTTTTCCACATTTCTTTCAGTTTTTTTGCCCTCAGCCCATTCATCTCACACCTCCGTCGGCTTGCTGCCACCTTCTCCACCCAACCCGTCTACCTCCGTCCCCCGGCCCGGCTCCGGTCCACCGCTCTGATCCGACACCTGCTGGTATTTGTGGCTTTTAGTTGGCTTTGGTTCGTACCTGTGCTTGTGGATGAGCGCGTTGAAGGCCATCCCGTCCCTCCAGCTGGTGGTGAAGTTGTGGATGTTGACGTTTGGATACCTGGAGGAGAGACGGCAGCTCGTCAGCGTCACTCTGCTTTTAAATCATGTCACCGAGCCACGGGTCGGCGGTTCTGACTCACCCGGCCGTCTTCATCTGGCACCAGAGCAGCAGAGCGTCTTTAGCCGACTTCTTCTCCTTGTTGTCCTCCGTCTCCACGCTGATGTCCTGGATCTGAAAAGGACAGGGAGGAAGCTTTTATTCTGAAATCTGATCAACTCATTCTGGACATTAGTTTGATTGTTTGTCTTTGTGAGTCAGAAGAACAAAGTTGGATCAGAGCTTTGATGGTTTCCAATAAAATCAAACCAGCACGAGGAACTCAGACTAATTTGCAGATTAAACATTTGTGAAGATCATTCATGATTAGATTTAATTTAATCAGCTAGAAATAAATATCAAGAACCACAAACCACCGTCTAGATGCAGAGTTTGTGTTTAATATTAGATTATGAACACATTAAAGCATCTCCGGATTCTTAAAACTAAAACTTGCTGTTTTTCCCGTTTTCTCCGTAGACCCTGAACGCAACATGAGAGCATCGAACCCAACACCAACACCAACAGGAAGCTAAACCCAAGACTTCTAAACTATCACATTAAGACACGTTTCAGACTCGATCAGGACTCGTGTATGGATCCGTCTTAACCCGAGTCCAGATGAGAACAAACCAGAGCAGGACATCGTTCACCTGCGAGGACCTTCACCAAACCTCAGCCTTCGTCTTATGGTGACCCCAGAACCAACTCTGACGCCTCAAACTGATCTTTGAAGGTGGAAAAACAACGTTCTCTACAGTTCCTGCTTTCTAGTGATAAATAATAAAGTCTTCACTTCCTGGAAACGTCCTCGATGGCTGAACATGTCCTCCAGAGACGCCCTGAGGAGGTCATGAAGGTATCTTCACTTATGAAAGAACAAAAAGAAAAAAGGTAAAGCTTTCTAAACATGTCCTCTCTTTCTAAGAATGCTCCCACATTTCTAAACTGTTCTGACTTTCTAAAGACGTTCTACAGATGATGGTTAAAACTGGACTTCTTAAAGATATCGTTCCTCAAAATGTTCTTAATAAAGAACATCTAATTTCTAAACATGTCCTCACAATCTGAAGACATGCATTTACAAAAACATCAAATTTTATTAATTTGACCCAACAATCCAAAGTTGGTTTTGGATTTTCTCTGAGCAAGCGATCGGCAACGACGGGAAGGAACCAAAACAAACCAAACAGACAGAACCAGGTCCAGGGAAGGAGGTCGTCTGCCTTGTCTGGCTGGAGGAAACGTGTCCACACCTTCTGAAGACTGTCCACCAACAACAGCATCCACACCTTCTACATATACCTTCACTTCTGGAGGTATCTTCTTCTTCTTCTAGTCGTCTCTTTCCATCAACATCCTCATGTTTCTAAACTGTTCTGTCTCAGGATGTCCACAGGTTCTGAAACCTGTCCAACTGTCTCCAAATAAACTCTTAACGATAACTTGACCTTCTTAGAAACATTCTCACTTCCTCAAACACGTCCACACATCTAGAAACTGTCCACACCTCCTATAAGCTCCTCTCTTTCTAATAAGTTTCCACATTTCAGCAGTGTTCTAATATTCTAAGGATAGTTCCTGGGAACTGTCCATCCTGACGGTTAAAAACTTCTCCAGAGATCCTTCCTGTCTTGAAGCCCACGCTCTGTAAAAACACCCACATTGTCCAACCATGTCTTCACTGTCTACGTAAGGACCTTGCTGCTTTCTAAGGATGTCCTCGCTCTCTCTAGAAAACCTTTGACTTTCTAAAACTGTCCTCACATCTTAAAAGTTGCTCTGAACACGTCGGTGCTTTCCAGACACATCTTCACTCCTCAGCGTCTCGTCTCACCTTCATTGATGGTCATCCGTCAGTTTGACATCACATCACATCCCATCACCACCACCCAGCATCAGGAAGCAAACATGACACGAGTCCTGCTGTCAGTCTGCACTCGGCTCCATTTCACTCGCCATCCTCGGATTTAAAACCACTAAAAAGAGTTTTTCCTTTAATCCTCAAAGCTTATAGAAGCTAAATCCTTTTTCCCAACTGTTCCTGGGCTCTGACATCAGCCAGCATCAGGACATACAGTAAAACGTGTTTTCATTTAATAAGCAGATAAAAGCAGGAAGCAGCTCTGGAGCTTCACATGAAAGTAAAGCGTCTAAACAACAGTAAAACATGAAGGTGTTTACCCACAGCTCTCAGTTTATCAGTCAATAATGAAAACACCACATTATTAGGGATAACAATGCTCTCGTATCTGCACAAATAAAGCAGGTCTCTGGGATGCAAAATGGCTCAATGGACCAAAATCACCAGAACATCCTCATTTCAGCTGAGGTGGCTGAATTATGTCACCTTGTCTTGGGATGCAAAATGGCACCACTATTGTTAAAAAAACAAATCAACTGGAAAAATATGTCCACAAGGAGCCTACAATCAATGTGACTACTGTTTGGGGATGCAAAATGCCTTTTATTTTGTTTGTTTATTTTGTCCCATGTGATTTCCAAATCTATTCAGTTTCATCACCTTAGGGTCTATTTGACTTGACACTGGTTTAATTTCCTGTAGGGATGCAAAATGGCTCAACAGGCCAGATCTACAGAGCATCCTGCAGATTTCAGCTGAGGTGGCTGAATTATGTCACCTCGTCTTGGGATGCAAAATGGCACCATTGCACTTAAAATCAAGGACAAAACGATGTCCCAGAACAGGCCACAGTCAATCAGGCAAATCCTTACATTACAGCAGATCATGTAAGTTTTGGGGATGCAAAATCACAAATGGAAATTCTGATCACTGGTGTGATTGGGTTCCATGTGATCTCCAGATTTCATGTATGTGTTCATCCTGTCTCCCTTTGTGGAAGTCATCTGGGGATGCAAAATGGCTCAACAGACCAAATCCTCCAGAGCATCCTTCAGGTTTCAGCTCAGGTGACCCGGTCCTGGCTCGGCGGCCGCCTCTTACCTGGAAGCGGAGGATGATGGTCCAGATGAGGCCCAGCGTGAGCCGGTGGTTCCCGTCCACGATGTCGTGGGAGCCCATGTTCTCCAGGTGGACCCTCTGCTCCTTCAGGAACTGCAGAGCTTTGTCCACGTTCTCCAGACAGTGGATCCTCATCCGGCCCTTGGTGGGTTTGGGCTGAAACAAGAAAGAAGAAAAAAGCAGAACTGAGTTTATTTACAGCCTCAAAAACCCAGAAAGCGTGAACGGCTCGGCGCTGAGAGGAGGCCAACAGCTGCAGACACAGATGAGCGACTTCACAACTGACGGTTTTGTTTTCATACTGGATGGAGGAACTGATCTACGGCGTCCTGCAGCAGCTGCATGTTGTTCTTCTGTTCTCGTCTAAACATCATGAAGACACGTTGAGCAAAACAAGGAAAAGAATAAATCACTGAAGTTATTTAGCGGCAGTAAAACAGGACATGAAACACGTTTGCTGGCTGCAGAATGGTTCTTCTCTGCAGTCCCGTCGTGTTTCTGTCACATCGCTGCACAGACATGTAAACATGAAGGGATGGATTCTTGCACCTTTAGCGCCTGTTTGCTGTTTTTAATCAGCGTACAGGTGGTTTCTCTGCGACTAGGAGCCGTTTACCGACTCGGTGTGATGGTAAATATTGGACGACCCGCTGTGAGGTTGGAAGGCGGCGAGCGAGGAGGATGTGATGACGGCGAGGGATTTTCAGGCCGTGACAATAACCTACTTTACCGCTGAGACTCGTCCCGTGGTGGTCGGGCAGATGTCCCACAGCTCTGCCAGCTACACAACAAACACCAGCGACTAGACTGAAGCCGAGTGCGACACGTGAACATGAACAGCAGCAGCAGGTTCCCACTCGCCTCAACAAGGACTTCACATCCTACAGGTCTCATTGTTTTAAGCAGAACTTCAGTTCAGCTAGATTCAGTAAAAACCTAAAACTTCTGCTCCTCTTGGTGCAACTTTGAAGCCATCAGTGACTCCAACCAAGAGTCACGTGACAAAAAATAAATTAAATTACACAATTTATCAGAGCCGGGAACTAAAAAAAAAAAAGTCTAACTGTGTTGAACATTAGTGTGGCAGCGATTCACCAAATCTCAGCTTGAAATCATCAAAATCACTTCATTCATGTTTAATTTTTTAAATTGACAAAAATAAATGATTTACATCAACTAGATTCTGTAAAAATAAAATTAAACTCTGAATCCATGACGGACTCAGATGTGAAAGCAGCAGCAGGACAAAAAGTCTCCACAGACGCTAATTAAAGATATAATTAGATAAATATTTATACACAGTAACACCTCTGGGCACTAAAACATCCAACATACTGAATCCATCCATCATCTCTACACCTTAACCCTCACTATGGGGGGCGGAGTCTATCCCAGCTGACTCAGGGTGAAGGCAGGTTCACCTGGACAGGTAACCAGTCTATCACAGGGCTACACTTAGAGACAGACAACCAAGCACACTCACATTCACACCTACGGACAATTTACAATCACCAATTAACCTCAGCATGTTTCTGGACTGTGGGAGGAAGCCGGAGAACCCGGAGAGAACCCACGCTGCACGGGGAGAACATGGAGACTCCACGCAGGAAGATCCCGGGTGTCCTCACCGGGACGCCAACCGGCGACCTTCTAGCTGTGAGGCCACGATGCTAACCACTGATCCACCTGCAGCTCTCATCAGAACTAATGACTGAATAATAAAGTTTTAATGGACTTTAAGCAGCAGCGACGTGTAATGAACTGATGCCGATCATCTAAAAATGTTTTTAATCTGCCTGATTAATTCGTCCATCACTTATATTAATAACACAGAACCATGAAGCTGGACAGAACGTAGAACCCGTCCTCCTCAGGCTGCTGCTGCCTTTATTACAGCCTCAATGAGAAACGAACTCCGTCTGTCCTGAGAAAAGGTCAGACTCCTCCTGGATCGTACTGAGATTCATCCTCTCCGCTGTGACAGCAGTAAAAGCTCCGGACCAAACAACTGTCAGGTCCACATGTTCCCGGGTCCAGTGAAGGATGGAGTTTACGCCTGGTTAGCCAGCAGTCGGGCCGAGCTCCATCCCTCTGCTGCGTTGCTCCGGGACACGAACCTGCTGCTGGTTCTTCATCATGAGCTCTCATCACGTCTGCGTTCTGTCTTAGTGCAGCGAGGAGGATTAAAGCCACAGGAAGCTCTCACGGAGCAGAACCCAGCAGCAGACCTGCTCGGTCCTGAACTTCAGCTGCTGGAGAGCCTCCGATCGGGTTCTGAGGAAGCAGCTGGACTTCACCTTCATTTATCCATCACTGGCTTGGTTCTGTAACATGCTGCAGGTGGTGCTGAGCTGAAGAGCAGATGATGATGATGATGTTGAGCAGAGCGACGTCTGGAGGAAGAGTTCAGACGATTCTGGATTAAATCATCATAAAAATAAAAGCTGCAGCTGAAACCAGCGTCTACCTCTGCAGTCTTCATTCATGCAAACTGTGTGTAAAAACATGTTTTATGTTTTAAAAGCTGACTTCATGTCATCATCTAACCTCGTTAGAGGTTCGGCTCTAACGAGGTTAAACGAAGTGAAACTGAGACTGATCATCTGCCAGAAGATGTGAAAGTTATCATCTGACAAACTGACGGCGAAAAAAACTGTAAAAACTAAAACAAACTGAGATTTTTGGATTTATTAGATTTTTCCGTGAACTAATGACGTCTGATCGATTCTGTCGGTAGAATTAAATCTAAACCGACTCGTCATGTTTCATCTAAACTCACCAAAACTGAAGCGTCTGCTTTAACGAGTTCTGTAAAAAAAACTAAAACTCTACGTTTCTCTGAGAAATCAGGACGCCGTCGTGACTCGACTGTAGTTTAACGGTCATGTGACAAGAACTGAGGAAACCCTGGAACATGAATAAAACACGATGACAACAAATAACTGCCATAAAATAAATCCTCCAAAAATAAACCATTTGCTTTGATCAGATTCTGTCAAAAACTAAAAACTCTGCATTTCTCTACGAGACCATAAAGCTGTGAGTGAATCTGATGTGATTAACAGTCGCATTAAAAAAAATAATATCCAGGAAGACCTGCTGCCTCCACACGTAGATGTTCTGCTACGGTTTTACTGTATTTTCTCATTTTTATATTAAACTTTTATCCTGTTTTTAATGACTTCCTGTTCTGCCGCGTCAGGACGTTTAAATGTAGAAAGATCTCAGAATATAAACACAATAAAGCACATTAATAATAAATAACCACAACAACAGAAATGACATCAGGTCTCATTTGAAAATGAGCCAAAAATAAACGGCTTCCTCGAATCAAAAACTAAAAAGTCTGCAGGCGTCGGTTCAACCGTGAAGACGTTACTGACTCTGATGCAACCGACAGCCACACAACAAACATTCAGGGAAAAACCTCAACCTGCTGCCTCCATCACATGTTCTCATTTTTATAATCACAGTTTTAAGCTCTTTGTCTTTAATGACTTCTTTTCTGCAGACGGAGCGTCAGGACGTTTAAATCTGGAAGAAATCTCAGAATATAAATAAAACCAAACAGCTTTAATAAATAACCACAAAAAAATAAATATCTAAACCTCTCATTTGAAATGTGCCAAAATCAAACCATTTCCTTCGACCAGATTCTGTCAGAAGCTAATAATTCTGTTCTCGTCTCTACACGTTCATCAGGACATCAGCGACCAGCAGACGCATTAAAAAGAAGATCTTGGAAATCTGCAGCCTGCAGCCTCCACATGTGGATGTGAGGCTACATTTTTATTGCATTTTCTCATTTTTATAATCACAGTTTGAAGCTCTTCCTGTCTTTAATGACTTCCTGTGCTGCAGATGAAACGTTCAGGATGTTTAAATCTGGAACCGAACACAGCAGTAATAAATAAAATAAACATCATTTAAAAATTCACCAAAATTAATCCGTTCCCTCCGAACAGATTCTGTCAAAAACTAAAAATTCTGCTTTGTTTGACACAACCGTGAAGCTATTCGTGGCTCAGAGGCGACCAACAGTCACGTCACAAGAATTCAGGGAGTCTCAACCTGCTGCTGAGTGTTTTTTATGATTTTTCATCATCACACTCTTCAGCTCCTCCTGATGACTCGTTGTGCTGCAGACGCTCCGGATGTTTAAACCTCAGAGCATAAATAAAACAAATCACAGCAATAATAAACAACCACAATAAAATAAATGTCAGAGCTGTGATGCTGCGCGTTGTCCGCCCGGCGCTGGCCGACCCGACGGGCCAGGACGCGGGCCAACAATAACACTGCTGCCTTCGCTTCTCCTCTCGCAGACACACCAGCAGCCGGTCCAACAAACCGCACCCAGATCCGGCTCTGGTGGGCCCGTCCAGCGCCTCATCAGGGCCTCGGACACAAACAGTGGACCTCCTCCGGCCGCCCGGTGCCGACGGGGGTTTCCAGCACCGGGTCAAAAGATGCTGAGTCATGAGACCTCAGTGAAACCTTCAAACATCGAAGCAGCTGAAACGCCTCCTCTGAGTTCTGATCATGTTTTTATTCCTTCATTGTTGTTCAGAACCGATTAAAACACATCGACACACACACAGCGGTCCATTCAGAGTCACAGCAAAGCTCCACATGTGGCGTCTCGTTCTGCTCGAACCTCCACAGCAGCACATCGTCACTAACGAGGACCAATCAGCTGCTGTTCGCCTCCTTTCACACACATTCCTCTGATTTTATCGCCCAGAACCTGCTCAGATCTCTGTAAACCATCCTTCTGTCTGTCTGAGCAAACATCTGTCAATAACCTACATTACTGATGATCCACCGTCGCTGCTCATCAATACGTCTGATTTCTAAATCCTACACTGAAATCACAACGAGCTGATTTTAACTAATGATGAGCAAAGCAGGAAAAAAGCTCAAGTTCAGCTGAAACCAGTGAAACACGTCAACAGTCTGAAGCCCAGAAGCTGCTGGAGGACTTCACAGACATTTAACTTTCTGACGGTCCTTGAACTACTCATCAGTCATGAAACGTGTCCGAAGTTCATCTTAGGATTCAGATGTTTCACTAAAATCACATTAATCTACTAATAATAAATGATAAATTAATTAATTAGAATGACTGTAACAGTTATGATGGAGTCACTCCTCGACTGAACCGGAGGCAGAATTACATCCAGCAGAGACGGAAACGTAATAAAAACATAAATATTAACACATCTATAGAACGTAAAGCCAGCATGACTTTATCCAGTACCGGTGACACCTTCAGGAACTTAAAATACATGATCACAGAAATTAAAGCTGTGATTTAATGTCACATAAAATCAAATATTATTAATGTCATTTTATTATTAATATGAGTTTTTGCAAAATATTGGTAACATCTGTGTCCTCAAAAAGTTTTACCAAAATGTGGAAATATACTATTAATATACTAATATATAGCATATTATCATTATTT